AGTTCTTTTGTTTCATTATATTGGTTGAAATCATATGAGCACGTCTTGATGGGCCATATGGAACGACTTTATCAGTGATTCAAATTGCAAACTTATCAACATATACAATCTCTCAGCAAATCTGAGATCAACTCTCCAAACCAAAAAAGGTACCAAAAACTCTTCTCTTATTTTATTTTGGTTTTGCACCCTTTTGTTTATAAGTGTTCTTTCTCCATTTGTATCTGTGATATCATATTGGTTTATTTCTTTGGAGGAAATGGGTAGCTTTTTTCATATGGAGCCTGAAGAAGGTCCATCAAAGTATATCTTGTGCAAAAAGCAAGTTTTCATTGCCTGCTGAAACTCCTCCAGAAATCAATTAGCAATTAGCAAAGTTTCACATTTGTAGGTTTTGGCATTTGGCAGAGTTTTGCAGTCATAAGAGGTTTCAGCAAGCAACCTTACTGCTTGTCAATAGATAGAAATTACATAAAGCCAGACAAAGGTTTTGCTTCAATGCAGTTGTACAATATCTAATTTCTTTATTAATTTCATCATCCTCATCTTCAGCTCTTTCAATTCTTGCATCAGGAAAATAAATCTCATGTAAACCTACGTAGGGTTTAAAACTGACCAGCATTATGCGGAAATGTTAACAGAATTACCAAAATATCGACATAATGCTGGCCAATTCTGAACCCTATGTAGATTTATGTAAGATTTATTTTCCTGATATGGTTCCAACTCACCTACTACAACCTCATCCAAAGTATGATATTATTAGTTTGATTCTTTTTGTAAATCCTTGTCTGCAAAGTCATTGCTTTTACTGTATTCTCTTCTTCACCATCAGGAAATTTTTCTGGTGTCATTATATTACATAAATTTATGTTGGGTCAACATTTCACGTTACACTTGATCAAAAAATTGTCACACGAATTTTGAGTCGCAAGGAGGGGAGGGGGGTTGGCTCTTATATCAACACTTAATCACGTATTTTCTGGCCCCAAGTATGTATTGAGTGCGTAGAATTATACTATCACTATATAAATATTTGTATGTTTAGTAAATACTTAAAAGGTTACACTCTTGAGAAAAAGAATTCATGTAAATAAATACTGAAAATGTTCTTAACTATTTTGTAGGAGAAGTTTCCGTTTTAACCATTTATTATTGTTATTGTTGTGTGATGTTTGTGGTAACATTAAATGATAATTTTTGATTTGTGTGCTCTTTTTTATCTTTCATTTCCGTGAGACAATTGGAATAAAGCATTCAATTAGGAACATTCCAAATGATGGAATTAACCAATGAAAAAATAGATTTCAACTGTACAAAATAAAAACCACGTTTCACAATTTATGTATGAATAAAAAAAATAACGGTAATTTTTTAAGAAAAATAACAAGTCAAATAAAATTTCTCGGATAATTCATAGTTTATTAGATGCATTGAATGAGAAAAATGATTCTTAAACATCAAAAAGTTGACATTTATTTTTTTAAAAAAATTATAAGGTTACACCAATTTTTCTTGATGTTTTATGGAAATAATATAATGATAAAAGCCACATATAAATAATTGTTATGGGATGAATGAATCAATTACACAGCCTTCCTAAGGTTGCTAAAGCCAGAACCCGTTGTGAAACTTATTTGAATGTTTTACCAAAGCCGGTTTTTGAAAGTAAAAAAAAATCATTTACTGGTTACATTTATTCTACAACATACGTTGCATATACAGTAGTTAAAATAATACCATCGCGCGTAAAAAAATTAAATGACTCTATAATTGCTACATAATGAACCTTAATCATCAAAAAAACTTTGATGTGTGTAAAAAATCTAAAGCTTCTTCTCCTTTTTTTTTGGACACAAATAAATAAATGGATTGGTGTTGATGGAATAACCTTCGTATTTTGGAGGTACAAATAACCATAACTTTCAATTTAAGCAGAAAGATTTAACTGGTTAAAAAGTAATTGACTTAAAACATTTTTAAGTGGTGAATGTTTCTATAACCATAACAAAAATCAAAATAATAATGAAAGTTTCAACACACACACACCTAAATGAATGCATTATTACGCAAAAAATGCAAATTTTTTTGTGTAATTATTATTATGAAAGTTTATTTTTAGATCTATGATCTTATGATCTTCATTCAGGATAATTTTTTTTTAAGGTTTCAAAATGTCTAATTTAAGTGAAATTGAACGTGGTAAGATTATCGGCCTTTCTATAAAGATGATAAGTCAGTCAAAAGTAAAGTGTAATTCGAACTATACAGAATTATAAAGAGGGAAAGGTAATTTTACAAACTTACCTCAAAGTAAATAGAATAAAATTCCAATGTTTATTTAAAGTTAATTGAATACATGTCTCATAGATTACATGCATTGCGAGTAATGGATGGTATATTACATTAATGAGACTTGGATGTTTTAAATTTTGTCCAAATAAAAATATAAAATTTGTACATAATTAATATTTGTGCAAATTGAAACTTTGATGTTAGCACCTTTAATTGGTTAGCACTTTTTGATTAACCATCAAATCCCAGTGTTACAAAATTTTATTTAACTTAGAATACTTAGAATACGAAATAATAAAACATAAACCTATATACTAATATATTTATGTGATGAAATAAATATGGGTAATACTGTTGCCGTTAGAGTTTCCCAAATTCTTATTCGAATTATTCATAATACAATTCAATCTTAATTCGAATTTCGAATTATTCGAATTATCGTTTTATTCGTTTTACCCGTTTTATTTGTTTTATCCTTTTTATTTGTTTTATCCGTTTTATTCGAATAAACATTCAATGCAATTCGAATATTCAATTTCGTAACGAACAAAACAAATAATTCGAAATTCGAATAGAAACCCTACTATGAATATTTGCTAGTAAAAAAAAATTAAGTTACAATTATTATTATCACTACAAGTACTACGAAGGAAAAATAGAACCTATAAAGAAAAATTTTTTAATTGGGTTGGATAATGCGCGCATATACACTATTACTATCGTTATATTATTCGAATGGTAAAAAATTTCACGCGTTTAAATTAACCGGTTAACTCTTAATGTTAATATTAAATTTAAACTTAATTTTCACGGTTAATTAACCGGTTAAAGAATTTTTGCACGGTGCCAACCTCTACTTTGAATGAAGAAGGCAATGCCAAGCATTTAGAAATTACTATAGGTAATCAAAGGATCAACCATTTTTATAATGTAAAATTTTAACGAATGCGACATCTTGAAGAATTCGCTAAAAGTACTAATACTTAATATCAATGTTCTTTGTGTTACTAGAGAGAAAAATAAAATTACTATTGCTCCCAATAAATATAAAAAATATATGCAGAAGAAAAGATAATTTGTGGTGAATTAAAAAGGTAAAGAAAGGTGTCAAAATTTATTTCTTTTGAGTGAATCATGACATGAGCGCTTGATGCCAGGCTCAGGGTAAGATAAAAGTCCAATTGACAAGTAAAAGCACAAGAGAGATCCTCATGGAATCCCGAGTTTATAGATTAGATAGTACACTGTGAAGCTCGTATAGATACAAATACTACGTACCATCTTGAGTCAATGGAATTGAACAATTTTTTGTGCGACTTTGTGTTTTAATGTCCAGATTAAGCTATTTAAATGTACAGAGAAAATAATCATTTAGCCTCGTTAAGACTAAACTAGTATTAGTATTCTAAGTCAAGGCAATTGTTACTAAATTAGGGTTTTACCTTTACGCCAGCAGCCCCTGTTATTTGGATCAAAAAATCACAAATTATCTATAGGTAATAAATATTATTTCAAACATTCAAAAATACAAATACATTATAATTGTTGTCCGATTTTTACTCTTATAAAACACAACCAAAAACTCTTTCTTTTTGAAATACAAATGATTTCACGCAGACACATAAAGACAAATACAAAAAAGAGCACGATGGAAAAAAAGCAATCAAATCTTTATTTTTTAACGCTATCTTTTTCCTTTTTTGAAAACCCCAATTTTATTCAAAAATGAATCATCATCCATCATCATCATCATCATCATCATCATCATTGTTATTATTATTATTAATGTCACTTTTTAATATTACAAATGTTTCTTTCATATCAACACCGGCAGTACCATTTAAATGCTATGATAAAACCAGTTTAAAATTAGTTGATTGCCAATTAGTTACAAAAGAACCAAAAAGCCCGTTAAAATCAAGCCGGCAATAACAATATGTTTGTGTGGATTGTCAAAGTTCAAAATCTGATTCTTGTGAAAAAAATAAAACAAACTTGGGCATCAGGAAAATAAATCTTACATAAACCTACGTAGGGCTCAGAATTGGCCAGCATTATGTCGATATTTTGGTAATTCTGTTAACATTTCCGCATAATGTTGGTCAGTTTTAAACCCTACGTAGGTTTACATGAGATTTATTTTCCTGATGGGCATGATAGGGCAAATTCCTTCTAATTTATTGAACCTGTCGTTGTAACACCATTAGTGGTAAATTTATTAGGTAATAAATATTTTATTTGTTTAAAAAATTTAAAGAGGATTTTCTAAATTACCTCTCTGATTAATTAATCTTTGCTTGTTTATTGGGTTTTGCAAGAGCAACCAGATCAATTTGGTTGAAAGGTGAAGACTGAATAATTAGACTGTATCCATAATAGTTTGTAAAACAATTTGGATTTGTAACACATCCAAAGTTTTCACCTACCGACACAACAGCAAAATTTAACTCCAATGTTGATTTTTGGTTTGAAGACGATGCAACACCAATTACACCAACTCAGACATCATTTGTACTATTGGTGATACACGAAATCATGCACGACTTGGGATCTTTATCATATTGGAGTTCAAAAAGCTTTGGAAATGTATGAAATGCAAGGCTATGTTCGATAGATTTGTGATAGTATTGCCAAATGGTACTCCAATATCCAGCTTCACAAATGAATTAAATGCTTTTGCACCAATAGGCACATGATTTATCTCAATGGAAGATCTCTATGCCCAATTTAAAGCATCTCCTCAATACACAAAGGCAACTGATATATTAAAGTATAGCACAACAGTCTTTTCATCAAGTTTTTTAGCAAAAGGTTTGGATTTTCAAACAATCGTGGCAAATGCTACTACTTATGATCAATTGTATCATTTGGAAACTAGTTTACCAACTTATAGCTCATTGTGTTAGTCACGTGAGCCTAGGTTTGTATGAAAAAACAAGCGAATTCATAATGGTTGATGAAATAGAGAATTACAAGATGCAATCACGGATGGTGGAAACTATGTTGGAAGAGCAATTGAACCCCAAACTTAAATCCGTTCTTGAATAAATAGGATATGTAACTACTGATAATATAACCCTAGAAATATCAACTTTACCTGATATACCAATTTTATGTACTTTTCTGTTTATTTGTAATGTAGGCAGACATTATTATTTTATATATTCTATTTAATATAATAATTAAAGTTTGTTGCCGCGCAAATAAGAGGCAGCCGAAAAATAAAGATCACTCTTTCAGAGTTGTCTGATTCGAATCTTTATTTTTACCTATCGCGAAAATCTTTACTTTCATTATAATATAATCAGAGAAGGATAATCGTGAAGTGCCGCAACGTGTTAAAGACTACAATGGGTTGGACATTGAATGATAGAGTCACTTGTGAGATTTTGACTTATTAATAATTGATTAGTTTGGCAATAAATTTTTTTTTATGTACATATCCGAATATTATTAACATTTACTTTCTGTTTCTATATACACCTTGTTATAAATATTTTACTAATAATAAATAAAAGAAATGGCTTGCATTATAAGGTGATTCTGATGCTACAAATTGATGGAACTATTACAAGCAAAGAAAAAAATCATTTTTTTTTGTTATAATTTAAATATAATGAAAATAAAATCATTTAATGGACCATTAAAAACATAATTCACAATGATAATATAATAAACTTAACATGAAAAAGCAAAATACTTTTTTTTTGGTAGAAAAAAAATTAATTAACAACAAATTAATAAAATATTTGATAATAAATGCCTTTAAATTCATTAATATCATCATCACCAGTAAAATATTGGGTTTGTTGTTCTTGATTTTCTTCCTCCTCGTCATCTTTACCAAAAAAACTTTTTTTTTGAATTTTTAAATAATAATAATTATTTTCAAAGACTTTTTTATAAATTTTTTTTAAAATTCTCAATACTGCTGCTGTTGCTGCTATTATTATCACTTCTTCATCATCATCATTATTATTGCTAATGTTATTATTGTTCCAATTCCTATCATCGATTATCTCGACATTAGAATCTAATAAATTAAGATATTTAAATACAAGATCATTCGAAAATTATCTCGGGTCTATTAATTTCATTCGTCCAATATTCTTTTCAACTATTATTATTATTATTATTATTATTGGAAAAGTGATACCATAAATAATTAGTATAATTTATTTATTATATGAATGATTGCTTACACTATTGCGACGTCCTATCATTTGGCTTGTGCAAACAAGATAATTCATTAAATCTGAAACTGTTTCATGTCTTACGATCTTTAATATGTTATTGTAATCATGGTAAAATTGGTCAATGCTAAATAAAAGAAATTTGTTTTTTCCAAATAAATCAATATCGATTATAGGCCAAATTGTGGTTTAGACGATAAGGATAATGGTAGCGTTGTTGTCGCTATATTGCTGTTAGTATTATTAAAAAAATTTACTTACTATTTCATCTTTAGGTCAAATAGATAAATAAATGCTTTCAAATTTTCAAACTTGGACATCTAAAATAATATCTATAATATCTACAAGACCATATAGATTTAAATAGTGAAGATTAGTAGTTTTCTTTTTGATTTTATTTTAAAAGATAAATAAATAAATACTATTAATAAAGGTACTCCGGTATAAGCACATCTTACCTCAATTGAATGTTGTTTGATGTAATAACATGGTGGTGGCTCAGTGCCTTTATTATATATAATGTTTTTAATGTAACCGAGAAGATAAAGAATCATCGTGTGATTATAACAAAACAAAACAAATATCTAATATCGAGAATGCATACAAGGTTCGTCTCATAAAGATAACTTGATTTAAAATCTAACATTGGATTACATCTTGCTGAATCAACAACATTGAATCTAAATAAATAAATTGTTATAATAATGATGATAATGATAATGTCATTGCCATTATTAACAGCAATAATTACGAGAGATGAATCAAGTTCTCCAGTAAGAATATTATAATCTTTGGTATATTATTCTCGTCATCGTAATCGGGTCTTTGATTCACAGATAATTCAATAAATTCCATTGAAACTAAATTTGTCGAAGAAGAATCAAGAACCTTCACTTTCATTTTCTTTTTCAAAAAAAAATTTTTTTTGAATAACGTCATAATCAATTATAATTAATTGCGATTAGTGAACTACGTGACCATTATTAATTCTGATAATATTTAAGGAAATAAAGCATGTGCATGGCCTTCCTTGTAATAAATCCCACTATAACAAACTTTTATCTCTTCTCTTTATAACGACTATTACTATAATGAACAAACGCACGAAATATATATATGTGTGACAGAAGGTTCTTTTGTATAGGTATTTTTTTATATTGGAAAAAAATTAATAATACTATTTTATATGTTTATCTTGAATAAAATTTTTTATTCCCTTTTTAATAAAAAAAATTATCTTTACCCAAGTCCCTTTAGAAATTAATATTAATACTTAAAAATGACCTTTTAATTTCAAGGCTATAAGATCTGCATTCATGCTTTATGCGGTCATTAAAAATTAAAATACATAAAATTATTAATGCTTCAATGGTTAATTTTTTTTCACAAACATTAATAACAAAAATAACTCAAAGATACTTGTAAATGTTATAGTTTACTTTTATGTTTTTGCTTGGTATCTTTAGTTTGTAAAAATGCAGTTGTATTAGGAGGAAGATGATGAAGTATAATGTTAAAATTGTATTTTCTTCAAGAATATGTACTCATGCATTATCAAATAATAATAATATGTGTCTGCCTCTTTTCGCCATTAGCTCATCTAACTTCTTGAAGCTCGCGTCCAGACTTTTGGATTCCAATAATAATCAACTGGAAGCTTTGACTTATCAACTCCTGACATGTCTCTTGGTGTTTGATATTTATGGATAGAGAGGAAGTTTCACAGTTCCTGTTGGATTTATAGTTAATAAAAGTGTTACCCTTTTTTTTTGATTTAACACAAGAAATAAGACCAGTTGATGGTGTTTTTGAAAGTTCCAATTCACAAAGCAAGCCTAATAAATTAAAAAATTTTGTTAATTTACATAAAGATTATTAGTAAATTATATTATATAAATGAATTTGCCAGTCTCATCACAATTATAAACATCTTCCAAGGAAATCATTCCTTGTAATTTACTTTGTTCTTGAGTAATACGGGATATGCTGATTCTACCATGTAAATTATATTATGCATTTGTTTATAACTTGAAATCCATTCATCCGAGCCTTTAAAATCATCAATTCCAAGAAATTCAACAAACCTTTTGCATTTTTCAACAATAATATCACCTGTAATTATTCTTTTGGCCAAAAATGCTTAGTTAAACCATAAAATCAATGCACATACAATCTCAGGATACTTTGGCAATTTATTTATTAACATCTAAGGGATCAATTGCTAACCATTTTTTTCCTTATCTTTTAGTATGTTACAAACAGTATTTTCTGCGATTCTGCTGAACTTTAGTCCAAATTCTTTATATGGGTGAACGATGGATTTTTTTCGTAAATTTCACAAAGTTCTTTTCTTTTTTGATGGATCAATTGGTAACATTACTAAAAATATTAATAAAAAGAGAATATTCTTCGGTTCCTTTCTTTATTTATATATTAAACATTGTGCGAGTAATTTTTAATCATATATTATGTGACATTGTGACAAAAAAATCCATTAAAATAAAAATAAATAAAAATCATCCAAGTAATTGTTGATAAAATCATTCGAATATAATGATTTTTACTAATTGTTAGTAATACGATTTCCTTTATGCTAATGTTTATAGGGAAACCTTTTGTTATACACAGGAACTAGCCGAGTTTTCACAAAAAATGTCAGCGACTAAATCAAACCTTTTATAAACGTTTCTAATTGTACGTATCATGTCATACATATGTATTTATATTATTTGACTCTTCAACATTAACATTATTCTTTCCTTAAAAATTCAAGAATTCTTACAGTATGTAATATAACCATGACAAATGACAAATAATAATAATAATAATAATAATAATAATAATAATAATAATAATAATAATTCGAGTAATGATAACTCTACAAGATTTATAATAACAACTAATAAACAAAATCCAAGCGCCAATTACTTTATCAAACACAAATATGCGTATCCGATGTTTAGAGAAAAGATTAGGTACTAAGGCATATCTTGGTGAAGTGTTAACTTTGATTCAAAGAAACCATTTCGTGTTCCACTTAACGAGAGTAGCTGAAAAAGCTGGACTAATTCTTCACAACCACAAATGATCGTTAAAAACTGCCCTAATTCTAAGGTAGAAATTAAAATTTCACCTTTAAATTAAAAAAATCATCAATATCATTATGTTAATATAAGCATATTTATTTTATTTATATTGCATTCATTGATTGTAATTTTTTTATGTTGATAATTTCTATTCTTGTATGGGAACCAGGAAGTAGAGTTTTATTCCAGCGTCAACTGTAAATATATTTTTTTAATCGGAAATTTATTATCGATCATTTATGGATAATCAGATTTACGCTACCAGCCCCTAGTGTTAATGTAACTCTTTATTTCTGGGTATTGTTCTTTGTAGTTTCAAAACCAATACTCGAAATATAGATGGTCTTTTTCTTCTTTTTCTATTATCCAGACCCCAATGTGTGCACAATCCTAAAATATTTTAAGTGAAGGGTTATGCCATTAACTCAAATTGCTTTCTTCGCATTATGTTGAAAGTAATAAATTTGTAACTAATATATAAAAATGAAAACAAGAAAACGAGAATATCAAAAATAGTCATACAACAAACAACTCCAACAACAACAAAGTGTTCATCCAGTTCAAAAGTAGCCTCTACTAATAATGACAATGGCAAAGTATTTACCCAGTTCGAAGGTCAGCTTCTTCTACTAATAATGACAAACAACAACAACGGAAAAAGTATTTAACCGGTCAAAGGATAGCTTCTTCTACTAATAATAACAACAAAATATTCAAAGGACAACTTCTTCTATTAATAACAACAATAAGGCTTCGAATAAGTCATATCAGATCAGATTTGGAGGAAATTTGATCTGATCTGAAATCCGTTTAGATCTGATCTGATCTGAGATATTATGTATAAATAAAATTTATAAAAATCATTTATGAAAGAAATATTTTTTTAAAATGATTTTATGAATTAAGAATTTCTTTATGAAATTTATGAATTACTTTATGAATTAAAGGTATTATAATGACAATCATTAATTAATAATGACTTGGATTTTTCAGAAGGTGCAACAACAGATAACTGTTGAAGCAGGCAATGATAATAAAAAAAGAAAAAATATTTTGGAACAAATAAGATTTATATCTACAAATCCGATCTGATTCAAGATCTGATTTGGTCTAGTTTTGATATGATATGATCTGGTTTGGTCTTGGTCTGGTCTGGTTTTGATTATATATGCAGCCAAATCCAAATTGGTTTATGAATGTCATAATATTACAGCATCTGAGTGATAGTTGTAATTAAAAGCCGTAATGTCATAATTAGACCATAATGTAATAATTATTACACTATCACCGACATTCTTTCGATATTATAACAATATAATATACACAAAAAAAGAAAGTTCCAGTTAGATGTGGGTGGGACCGATCGAAATTATTGATAATAATGGAACTATATCTAAAAGTGCATTATGGTAAAGTACATATATACGAGACATCTGATGTTGTGGTAAGTTTGTGACATAACAATACATGATGGTGATTCTTCCAGTCATCCAATTAATTATATTTCACGGGATAATTAATTAAAAAATTTGAAATAATCACCGATTATTTTGGTGCCAAATTTTTAATTTGAACGATTACTCGGGCGTTGAGTTTTATTATTATTATTGATGACCAATTACTCAAACGCCCGGATAACCAACGGATACAACCACTATGTTCCTCATGTTTTTTCTGGATAATTTTTACTTTACCTGTAGAAAAAGCAAAATTCGTTATTGTTAGTAAATCATAATTCGTACGTATGCCATTGTAGTAATATTACTAGAATAATAATGAAATTCTACAATGATAAATACCTTTCTTTGCCGTACCTAGTCATAGCATAAATTTGACCTCAAATTCTGCACAAAGAAAAATTAGAAAAGAAACTACACATAGGGGATTCAGCGAGATAAGCACGATAGCTTGTGTGGAGAAATATATACCGATGTTTTTTGTCTTAATCGTTAATGTATTTCCATTATTTTAGAACTTTTTTAATATAGTCCCGCATCATTATAAATGATTTAAAAAGCTTTCTTTCTATTGCTGTCACAAGATATTCCATCATATAACTTTTCTAGTTTACATGCTGTGTATATCAATACTCTGTTTCTTGGCCTACTCTAGTCCATTGTTGAGAAGAAATATTTGACTTGTTAGTAGTCGTTGACGCTACTTTTAATTTATTTTAATGTGCAATAATAGAAAGAATATGTAGAGGTTTTGAATTCTTGAATCATCCTTCACAATTTCCATTAATCTTGTAGTTTTCTAGTAGCTTGTTTCGATGAACATGCTATATACTAACTACAATGTTTGCAATTTCTTGTGCCAATAATTTAATTAATTTTTTTTTTTTTGCAAGGGAACAAACTCTCCTTCGCTAAAGCAAGATTCCTTGATATTTGGCCTATATCTAAAAGATGAAAAATAGATACAGGTGATTAATCAATTTGAAATTATCGCAAAACTTACGTTACTAGTATTATTATTATTTTTTGAAATAAAAGTTAGAAACCCAATTTTGTTAAGGGGGTTACACATATCCAAATAAGATGATCAACATGTATAACCCCTAAATAAATGTTTCTTTCTCATGTGGAAATTACATAAAAAAGAGGAAATTGAATTAAGTAACGGTTATTGTATTTGTACAAAAATAAACAAATTAGAGATAACGATAACAAAACAATGCAACAACAATAACAACAATATAAAAATCACCATAAGAATTTTATTGGATAATAACAATAATAACAACAAACAAAATTCAAAATTTTATTTATTATTCCCTCCATAATTGCTAAACGAGCCTCCATTCAAATTGTATTTTTTATTGCATATACTTCAAAGTAACCGGTTTATTTTATATGATTCTTTTTTTTTACGAAATGCTCTTAAAAATCAAGTGTGAGAATAAATTCCCATGTTTTTTACTTGATGCCAATACTTTTATAATTGTTGATTAAAAATTGATCTATCCAGTAAGAAATCTTGTAATTTTTTATATATTTTCCCTCTTTTTAATAATCAATTGTTTGTATATGTCTTCATTCCTATTAAATGAGCAATGATTCTAAAATCTATTGTGAAAACAAATGTAACCACCTGCATTCCCATTGTTGCAATGAATGAAGATCTCTTGAACTCTAAAAAACTCTGCTCTTATTGAAATAAATGATCTCGTCCACCAAAGTCTTTTAACTAGTGAAGAAATAATATATATCTGTTTACAATGATTTTTTTTTTATCAGGTTCACATAACCAGTTTTTTCTATTTTAAATAGGTGCTACGTATATAATTCTTTGTTTAATATTAATTATATATATATATATATGAAAGTTAATCAGAGCCCAGTATAATGTATAGATAGTAATAATATTCCTTTTTCTCATCATCATATGTCATTATTGTCGTCTTTACTTTTTTTAGATCATAAAAATCACGCACGGTTGGCCCATTACTTTCATAGCCACCATAAAAGACAAAGGCGTAATTAAATAATTACTGAATTACAAGAGTGAGAGAATGTTACAGAACTACTCTTCCTTAATTTGCAATTTCATTTTTTTTCTAATCTATCATAGATCTTTCCCATGTTTATTTTTCGTTTAAACTTAAAATAAGATAACAAAGGGTTATTTAGATTTTTTTCATCCAGTCAGAACGCCGGCGTATTACACAACTATTAATTTTTTTAAACCAACAATAGAAGCATTATTGATCTATTTGCTTAAAATAAACAATAATAATTACACAAAATTTAACTGGGTAGTATTTAAAAAAACCAAAGTCCCGGATCCTATTGAAATTAGATACATACATACATACATATATATATATAAATGTGTAGAACCTTATTTTGCTGAAAATTTATATGGACATAGGGACCCGATCATTCTTAGGAGATGACATATTTTAACTTTGAGTAAAATTGCCTTTTGTTTTTGATGATGGTATATTTAGAAAACGAGTATTGGTCTCAAGTGGTACATTTGACCTCAAAATGTATTAAGCGGTGCAACGATTTTTCCTTTTTTTATAAATAAATAAGAAATGGTAAAATTGTATATACTAAACAGCGTTTTTGAACCATGGATTTGTTCAAAAAGTTTCTGATGATGGTACTTACGTTGCATATATTTAAAGCGCGCCTTTTGATGTAGATTATATAAATCTGCATATAAAAGGTGATGGTGAAAAAACACCCAAGTAATTACTAAATTAATATTTGTCATCAATAAAATTTTTTTCATGCATTAGTCTTTGTGATGACAATTATAAATCATATATTAAACGTACTGACTGTAACATGAATTGACTCATCAACTATTTCCTTTGGTTTTTCCTATAGGTTTAAAAATAAAATATTCTTAAAATCTGTTCAACTAGAACATCTTGAATAAGAACTTGTCAATCAACCAAAATGGTGAATTCAAAGTCTGTCAATTCGAAGTGCAGATTGTAAAAAGGATATTGCATGTCTCAGGTTTTTAAAATAAATTCATTATTTAATTATGTAATTTTATTATTATTTGCTAGATAACAATCAGGTTTATTCTAAAATTAGCTGCATAGCAGTGCAGTCAACTAATAGTGATATTATGTACTATCAATATAGAAGCTGAAGAATTTTTTTGATTAAAGCTTGTCGAACTGGGCAAAAAAGTATCATTTAAAAGGCGGTCTATATTTGGGAAATAGTAAAGGAAGAAGAGGCGGGAAAAGGAACGCATCGTTTTGAAAATCATCAGGTTTTATTGCTATTTTATCGTCTTTAAGTACTTGTGCATATAATGTCTTCAAAAAAAAAATCCATCTGGACGTGCATTTTATTATTCATTATGTTATTTAAAGAAATAAAAAAAATTGCGGTTTTTCACATATAGTATTATTGTAATTTTCTAAAAAAAATGAAGCGGCTAGAGAAAAGGCGGTTTATTGTTAAACCTAAAATGTTCTGATCCACACAGCGCATTATAAATAATAACAATATTTTGTATTATTTGGGGTCATGCCACTGTTCTATTATACGTGATTTTGTTAATAATATTATTTTAATTCTGAATATGTGACAAATTATTATTATATCATAACAACCCCAGTTTAATTTCACAAGTTATTTGTAAAACCATTGATTCCAAAAAAGGACACGGCGGAAAATGACATGATAATTCAATCAACACACAGGCATACGCATATACGCACTCATTCAAACATAAACATAATCCATGTGCAGAGTTAAATCACATATGGGCATACTATGAACTTCCACTTACAAGGAAAAATATTTTACTTGTTAGATTTGCTAATCTATTTATACACGTGCAAGAACACCCTTTGTGATTACAAAAAAAGAAAATAATAAAGGAAGGTAAGTACTTGATTGTTTCATAATAATTTAGTTTGGACTTTAATGACCTAGAAACTCAAAGAGCCCGTTTTTCTTTAACTATTGTTTCTCTATCCACTTAATTACACCAAATATAAACAGAGCTCGATCCGTGGCTTTTTTTTTAATACTATATTTAACTGACGAATGAATGTAAGATTTCATTCACAAAACACAAAAGTAGTTTTAATGTCATCCTTTGTAAAAAAAAGGATAGGTATTTCATTCATGTTTTTTGAAATGCATGCAGAAGTAAGTTTGACAGCTTTGATTTGTTGATTTTCGTATTTATTTCCATTCATCACCAGCGCGTTTTGTTTATAAAAAGATAGCAATTTTTTGTGAATTTAGCTCCTTTGCGCCGTTAAGAATAATTTTATCGTTATGATGATAATTCGTAATCATTCATCATACTCGTCGCTACAATTAATTCTTTAATTCTATTAAAAAATATGCATAAAAATAAGCTTTTAAGAAAACGTTTTTTATAACAAGCGAAAAAATTAAGCCAACTATTAGTTCCATTGCAAGTTTATTTTCCGTATCATATATTAATATATAAATACCTTTACGGGGAAGGTCAGAATTATTTTTTTTAAAAAAGTATCACAATTACGGAAATTCAATTTGTTAACTCATATAAAAACATCCAAATTTATACACTCTGAAGTCACGAATTTTTTTTGAAATTTGAAAATCAAATCTTATTATTTATCGTTGGAATTCAAATATTCTTTTTTTTTTTTAATTAATTAATCGTTTTATTCGTAAATTTTCGTGATCGATTATTTGAAAATGATAAAAATGCAAAATCTGTGTATATATTGTCTACAATTAAGTTTTTTATTTTTCATGTATCTAATTATTATTTTAAATTAAGATTTTTTTATGTTTGAGAATAAATTTTAAAGAATAATAAATAAAATTTTTTATTTATATTAAAGATCTGTCTAGATCTTGATGGGGAAGCACTAATTGTTACATCCCCCAAAGTAAATATTTTTTTTCAAATACTAGCAAAGAAAATAAAAAGTGATGTCTTACATACCAGTTCAATTATAATCCGAGGTCCTCGGAGCATCTTACGAATTGAGAGGACTCCGGAAACTTATATTAGATGTTCCTTACACGTAGACTAAGTATATATTAAGCATTTTCTTGGTGTTACCAGGGACGATGATTTATGCAATTTGCATTATATTGCATAATTGTTGCATAATTGATAATTATCGCGTGAATAAACATCAAATATTTATAAAAAATGGGAATTGTGAACTGATTCCTTGTACTAGACTTGAATATGATACTGTTGTGCGTGAAAATGAAATCTATGTGAATTTGCAATTCACGTAAGTGAAATTCAAATTGGCCAATCATATTACGAGTAAAAAGATTATAAAGTTTGCCCAGTTTTTCCGGGAACATCTAATATAAGTTTCTCGAGTGACCAAAATCAGTATGATAAATTCATTTTGAAAAAATTTTCTTCCCCAATTTTTTTTGTGGTACACAATTCATTGAAAAACATTTAATTGACGATCCGTCTATGAATTCACATTTTGCCTTTTTTTAAAGTTTTGGATTTTAAAATAGTTTTGAAGTTTAAAACAGTTTCAGTTTTGAAATGTAATTGAATACTAAAATTAATAATGAATATTTGGAATGATTTGAATAATTCTTGTTATTATTCGAATAGAAACTCCGATTAAAGCTTTTTTTTATACACAAAGAATCTCACTTTGAAATTTGTTCCATAACGTAAAAAAGCATAGTACCATTTTTTTATACAAAGTCGTCAAGTGACATTTTTCCTCCGTTGATCTCTATTATTACTATTTAGGTTCACTCAGGCGGATCGTCAATTAATTTGAAAAAGTATTTATCGTGTTAAAAAAAAATTATGGACCTTTTACTTTATTTATTCTTATTTTTTCTTTATATATCTATTCTTTTTCATCTGTTATTTGCTCTATAAAATAAAAAATAAACCGATATATAATTTGTACAGTGCGTAACATCATAAGCCATCAAATTACTGCGCCCATGTATCAAATTCAAGAAAAATTTTCAAATTTTTTTTAATTACTTTCATTACAAAAATACAGTTAAAAAAATAAATCACGTGATAAAGGATTTTTACTCATTATTTCTATCAATTTCTTCCATAATATTATCAGGTATTCTTCTATGTGATTTATATCTTTTCAAAGCATATTCTGCTTGTAAAACTGTTAAGCCTTTCCTATAACATTCCATATACTTCACTGATCTTAATGCATATTTTCTTATTTGTTTCAATGATATAGAATCAAAGGCCCTTGGTATATTTTCTTGTAAACCTTTCCAGGTATAATCGCAATGTTGTCTTACATACCTTTTGGCAGCACCCCAATACATTTCTATATAATTCAATTCACAGTGGAATTTTGGATAAAACACCACTTTGTGACCTTTTGCTTCGATTATTTCCTGAAGCAGGGGTTTTTGATTTTTGAAGTCAACCTGGGAAGCTAAAATATGTCTGGCACAACATGTTAAGTTCTCTTCAAGAGAAACATTACTATTCTTACAATATGCTTTTAGATTTGACCTCCATAATCCTCTTTCCTGCAGAATTACCTTCATTCCTTTTGGTTTACCACATAACTTTTCATCTGGATAATCATTTGGGAATACCATTTCTTGAACTTTTCCATCAAAAATTGTATCTCTCATAACAGGTTGTTCTCCACCTGGCTTAAGATTCATTGTGAATGCATTTAATGCATCTTCTGCCCTTTTTGTATGACTTGATGAATGATCAAATGCAAATACAGCAATCATTCCTGGATGTGTCAATTCAAAAATAGGAATAGCACAATTGACAACCTAAATATATAAAAAAGTGGCCAACAAATATTAAATAGAATATTTTTTATCATTATGGATTTTTTAAAATTGTTTACCTGATCTATTAATTGCTCAAGATTCCACCACCCATCTTGATTTTTTCCAGGACATATTTTTACTTGAGCATCTTTAGGAAAATTCTCATTGACATTTGATATTTGTTCATCTAACAATCTCAACCATCCAATTGTTTCAGTCAAGAAATCACTAATATGAATAGTTCTTCCTTGACCTTTCTTATGTAGAGGCTGTTCATTTATTGGTCTCCACCCTGATTTTTTACCATCATTTGATTGAAGAGTTGTTTCATCTTGCATAACTAACACATGTATTTTCTCACCTTCTTTTAGTTCAGGATTAATCTGCAATTCAAAATCATCACCAATGAATTTAGGCATAAATTTTTGATACCT